TTTTTTTTTTTTTTTTTTAAAATATAAATTAGTGCATAGCATAATTTCGGAGATGCTACGGTTTCGTCACGGAATCATTCCATCGAGATTTGTAACTGTTAGATCATCATGTAACCGTCGGCGATAGTTGATCTAACGGATATAAACCCCGATTGAATGGTTTCGTAACGAGACCGTAGAAGGTACTCATAATCAAGCTTGAGAAATTTCCGGTATGAAATTCAACCATTTTACCTTCCATATTATCAATCTTTTAAATGTTAATTAAGTTTAAAAAAACTGAATCAAATGTATGGAGTCGTAAACAATATCAGTTTTATATATATATGATTTTAAAAACATAATTAAAAAGCATCTCTTTTGTAAAATATAGTGTAAAAATACTGACAATATTTGAACTAATTATCAATTTATTAGTTATTTATTATTATTGCATATTCGTTATATATAATTTCACAATAAAACAATAAATTGTATTAATTATTATTATACAACTATTAATATATTTAAGTACCCGTGAAGTACAATACCAGTCTATAATATGTAAATCTAACTTATTCATTGCTGAAAATCATTAAAACTAAAATAAACAATGAAGATGTTGACAATAAGATTAGAATTTTAATTTAATGCTTACAATAATAATATAAAATTCTAAGAAAATAAAAACAAGAAATTTCGGCTTAGCCCATCTTTTTTGACTAATATTTCAGGGTCACGTGTTTAGTTATATTAAACAAGATATTAGTATTTTTATATTGATAAATTTTAAAAATTTGCTATCAAAAGATAAGACAACAATGTTTCCATAGCCTTCCAATTTTCCGTAGTTTTACTTCCTTAATAGAAATGGTTACTAACTTGATAATATATGGAGATGTTATGGTCCCGTTACGTAATTATTCATTCGGGATTTGTAACTATTAGATAAACTATCCGACAATTACATAATGATCTAATGGTTACAAACCTCGACGGAATTGTTCCGTAACGAGACCGTAGTATTTCTCAATAATATAATCTACTAGCTTGTCCTTATCAAAAAAGAAAAAGAAAAAAGAAATTACTATTCTCGAATGTTCATAATTTAATTTTGTATGATATTTATGTTTTTGGACAGACGTTTTCAATTGACAAATACACAAACAAGAGATGTTACATGTTGAGTGCAAAGGAGCTTTCAATAACTTGGTCCACCAATCCTCTTTGTTGGTGTTGGAAGCCTATCCCCATGTCTAGGTTCTTATCTACTTCCAACATTTTCCATCTTAATTCAATTACAATATTTAATTTTTAATAATTTATTTATTAATTTCGTTTTCGATTAGGTTCCCGGAGGCGATCGAGCTGATATCAGTGTGCAGGCTAGAAATACTCGGAAAGTTCAACGCACAAATGTTGTCCCCGAACACGACCTACGGCGCATACCTCGTTATCAAACTGAACAACCGTGCTTTCGGACTGAGTGTAATGCCATCTGAGGTCTCGGTCGAGGTCGGGAGTTACAAGACCAATGGGAAAATTTACGTGACCCAAGACGGATGTAAAAGGCAAGAGCTCGACGCGCCAATCGACGAGCGCGTGCCGTGTACACGCGTCGACGGTTGGTTGGAGGTGGAATTGGGTCAATTCTACATTAATAATGCAAGTGATAATAATAATAATAACAAAGAGGTGAAGATGGAGTTTAGAGAAGTTAAAAGTGAGCAGCTCAAGGGAGGACTTATTGTTGAGGGGATTGAGCTTAGGCCCAAACATTAATTAATTAATTAGTACTTGAATTTGCATGCGGGCTTTCAAAATATGGGAAAATTTTTTTTAAAAAAAAAAAAGAAAAAAAGAAAAAAAAGATTATTATATGAAAATGT